GGAAGGAATACACAGAGACATTGTACCAAAAAGAATCAGTTGATATTCAACTATTTCAGAAGGTGGCATATGATCAAGAACCGATGGTATTAAAGGAAGAAGCCAAAGCTGCACTGAAGGAATTGGGGAAAAACAAGGCTCCAGGAATTGATGGGATACCTACTGAGATGTTTCAACAAATGGATGCAGCACTGGAGACACTTACTAGTCTGCACCAACCAAGTAATTTGGAAGACAGCTACCTGACCAACTGATAAGAAGAGATTGACATTTGTTTCCATTCCAAATAAAGGTGATCAACTAGAATGTGGAAATTATCAAACAGTATCATTAATATCACACACAAGTAAAATTTTGCTGAAGATAATACAAAAACAGTTGCAGCAGTATGTTGACAGGGATTCAGAAGAGGATGTGGAACAAGGGATATCATTGCTGATGTCAGATGGATCTTGGATGAAAGTAAAGAATACAAGATGTTTACCTGTGTTTCACTGACTATGCAAAAGCATTTGATTGTTTGGATTACAATGAATTACGGATAACATTGAGAACAACAGGAATTCCAGAACACTTAATTGTGCTCATGAGGAACCTGTACATAGACCAGGAGGCTGTTGTTCAAACAGGACAAGGGGACACTGCATGGTTTAAAATAATGAAGAGTGTGTATCAGGGTTGCATCGTTTCACCATACACGTTCAATCTGTATGCTGAGCAAATAATCTTGGGAAGCTAGACTATACAAAGAGGAATGCAATACCAGGACTGGAGCAAGACTCATATACAACCTGCGATACACAGATCACACAATTTTGCTTGCTGAAAGTGAAGATGACTTGAAGCACTTACTGATGAAGATTAAAGACTACAGTCTGCAGTATGGATTACATCTCAACATATAGAAAATTAAAATCCTCACAACTGGACTGATAAGCAGCATCATGATAAATGAAGAAAAGATTGAAGTTGTCAAAGATTTCATATTACTTGGTTCCACAATCAACACCAATGGAAACAGCAGTCAAGAAATCAGATGACGTATTGCACTGGGCAAATCTGCTGCAAAAGACCTCTTTCAAGTGCTGAAGAGCAAAGATGTCTCTTTGAAGACAAAGGTTCAGCTAACCCAAGCCATGTGTTTTCAATCACCTCGTATGCATATGAAAACTGGAAAATGAATAAGGAAGACTGAAGAAGAGTTGATGCTTTTGAGTTATGGTATTGGAGAAGAACACTGAAAGTACCATGGACTGCCAGAAGAACTGTGGTAGTTATGTTTGTATGTCAGCCTGGCTGGGCCTGGTTGAGTGGCTGGACAGCTGGTGGTAGTTATTCCCCATGAAGAGACTGGCAATCAACTCCATGGTGGGATCTACCATAAGCAGCCGAGTAGGTGCCTTTGAAATGTGGTCTGCTTCCTATATATAAGGAGAAACCTTGGGAATGGTTTCTAGCCTATGTCATGCTTGGACCCTGCATGTAGCCCTGTCATTGCTCAGCAGCCTGCTATGTTCTGCCGACCTTGGGACTTAAAATGGACTTAAGTTAAAGGCCTGCCATGTGGTTTGGTAACATTGGGACTGCGCCTTTTTACTTGTCAACCTTGGGGCTTCTCAGCCTCATGAGCCAGCAGCTGTCTGAGTGAAGAAACGCCTCTAGCTCCAGTGGGCCGGGAGCAAGAGACAGAGCTGGACCTCAAGGTTAAGAGGCTTTCACCCAGCACCTAGAGCATGGCACTCTGAACTTGGGCTTAAAGCCTCCAAACTGTAGGAATAAACTCCTGTTTGTTAAGGCCATGCCATTT